AAGACCTGGTGGGACTCAACTTTTCAACGTCTTGAGCTAAAAGTAGAGATCATGTAGATAACCAGACATGTAGGCCCCCCGTCCTAATCAGCAAGAGATTTAACTGTGTTATTCAATCCATGTGGAATTTATATAGCATCTCAGATGCCACTTACAACTGAGAAGCTTAGTCGGAAAAATCAATCTTATCAGTAATCAGGCAGGAAGGGAACCTGATGCCAAGCTAAAAATGCAAAGGGTTTCTTGACTTCTGACCTTTTCCCTTCCCATATTGGATTGAGCAGATCAACACTCCAGGACAAAGGTCAATGAAAATGCAACAAGTGGTGACGTAGTAATGGGCTACCAGCAGAAGAGATGAGACAAAAAGCAGGCATTCTGCAATGGAACCCTGTATTCTACATTTATAAGGTGAGATCTGACAGCTCCAGGGGATGTTATGAGCAAGCACAGCTGTCACAACGTCAAATGGCAAAGTAGAAGAATAACAAAGAAATCAAATACTCTTTGAGATGCATGCAGATCTTCACGGAGCCATTAGTGTTTAGACTTCTTGGCTTCAGTGCCATTTTACAGAGTGTTTCTATCAAATTTTCCCTCTCTTTCCAAGTTATTTGTTCCCAGCAGAGCCCATGCACTCTGTGGATCGTTAAGAGAGTACGGTCCTCACAGCTCAGTACCATTTTCTCACCTTTAAGTGCTTAGAAACACAAGACCGCATGCTGGGAAAAGAAATACACCCCTTCTTTCTACAGACAACAACCAGCCTAAACAAACAGTGACTAAGCTGAGCATGGTAGCTGCAATTGGGCAAGCACTCTTCTTTCAGGCAACCAGTCTGGAACTAACTGATTGAACTAATACCCACAAAGGTGCTGGGACCTGGTGTTTCATAATGCTATTTAACACATCCCATCAAATCCTAGGGAGTATGTCAGAGAGCATCACACATGTTCTTTTTTATTCCCTAAAAAAAAAAAAAACTTGGGGAAAAAAAGAGCCACAGCTAGAGAAAAGTGAAAGAATAGTGGAGCGTCTGAGTGCTGTGGTGGAAAAAATGCCAGCCACAAATGGAAAGCAAGATACAATGTACTTCTTGGAGTGATTCCACCTCACAGGGTCTAACAACTCTAATTAAATTATCTAAATTGGCCTTACCCACCTTTGCACTCCTGGAACATGATCAATGATCTGTATAGACAGATAGCAAGGGCCACAAATTCTGTTGACATAATTTGGCTTAGTTTCATTGCCTTCAGTGAACACAGGCTGACTCTTGACTGTTACATACAAAATAGAAAATTCTCTAACATATATAATGCCCTGGCTAGGTTTCCCTATCTCTGCGGCTCATCAATATTGTCTACTGACTTACTTCCTCTGTCAGTCCTTCCTACACCCTCTTCTGCTTCAAAAGAACGTCTTGTCCACATGCTTATACTAAGGTCCAGGCCACCAGCAAGAAAAGTAATCACAGCCATGCAAACCAAAAGCTTGGAGCTTCTGTATATCTGGGAGTTTCTGGAAGAGGGGAGCAGGATTCACATTGCTGCACTTTGGCCTCCAGTTAGGTGACTGGGCTTTTGCTGCTTTCATCGGATTCAGAAGATGATTTGGGGCAACGTAACTTGACCTTCCGGCCCCGAGTAACCTTCTGGAAGAGTCCCTTTCTCTCTGCTAACTGTGTAGGAAACCCAAAGAGACTAGCTCCCTAATGGGAATGTTGGACTTACTGTATGTGAATACCCCTTTTTTCTTTCTCAAAAACTTAAGGTTACATCACAGTCCCCCCTCCAAATCAATGGTATTAAACCACAGCCAAACGTCTGGATGGAGGCAAAGCACTATACATCAGAAACACACAGTTCTCCTGGTGAATGGGTAATACAAAGGATGGAACATTTATATTTGCAGGAACACATAAGTATAAAACAGACTTAAATGAAAAGAACCCAAATATAAAGATGCCAGCATGTGAGCTCCAGAATGGCACTTTGAAAACCAATGCACACTTCTGTGTGAGCTTATGCCAGATATGATTGATCAGGGCAAACTTTTGACTCTGGAAAGTGAAACCTCTCTGCCATAACACCAGCTCCACGTTATCAAGTCAGTGCTTTTGCATTCTAGTTTCTCCTCCTTCAACCCTCAAACCCTAGCAGTGGTCTGGCAGCTCCTTCTGTTGAATATTTCAAGTTAGTGTCACTCTCCTTTTGCAGACAGTCAGGGCCAGCTGTCCCTTGGAGCTGTTACAAAGGAGATTAAAAACACACAAGCTGCCTATCATGAGAATTATTGAAGATGCTTCGAGCACTCAGGTTTAGCTAAACACAGAGGGAGTTGGCTGAAAAACTGCTAGGATGGTGGGGGGGGGGGGAGAGAGAGAGAACAAGATAGAGAGAACAGCTCATCAACAGCCGAAGCACAGAGACAGGAGCAGACTTCCAGTTAACCAGTGCTATGCCAAGGCATAACGCATATTGCTAGCCTCTGACTTTCACATCCATTTCTTTCCTGCTAAAGTTTTATTTAACTGATATCACCTTCATTCTCACTTTGAAATGTAAAGTTTAGTGAGTGGAAGCAAGGGAAAAAGCAAGGACTTTGAAATCTGTTCTTCAGCTTACATTGCAGCTGCAATACATATATACTTCTAGCTCTGCTACTCTTGGGAACAATATGCAAAAAACATGTAAACAAGAAACAAGAGAGCAACAGGAAGTTCTGACCTATGCATTATAAGAAAACAAACACCAATGGCTTGCCTGTCACATCACCAACAAGCATGAAATCAATTCGGAGAGTCAAACTATTTTCTCTCCAAAAGAGCTGGATCGCCTTCGGATTTTTATTCCCTGACCGATTTTTATTCCCATACTGAATACAGAACATTGCCCAGCCTTTGAGCGTTGATCTCTCCGATCAGGATGACAAGTTAAGAACACGTTCTGAACAGCTTTACTTCTTTTCTACTGCTTCCTTCCTGGATGGAATTACTCACTTCCTCTACAGGAAAGTCATTACAGAACTCACTGCTCTGAGTTCATACGAGGTTATTACCTGCTCACTGACAGTACGTTATTAGGCACCCACAGTGTTTCCTTTGACACAGGGGGTTGGTCTCCTGTATTACAGGCTTTTGAATAAGAAGAATAAAGAATGGCTTGCTAGGCACATCGTACTTTTTTTTACCTTCACTTCAAGCATCAAAGCACAAGGAAGGTATAAGCAGCATTTTTAGAGAACAAAAGGAGAAAGAGAAAGAAAAAGGGGGGGGGAGAGAGAGAGAGAGAGAGAGAGATTTTCTTATATTGTGGGTCAATGACAATCAAAATCATTTTTACAATGGAGTCGAAACCTGCTAGCTTTCATTCCCTTGATGGCAAGGCAGCTAGGACTCTTAAACGCTTTGTTGGTTTGCCTGCCTATTACCTAAAGTGAAAGCTACTTTTCTACAGTGAGGGTAGGAGCGCACCTCCAAATTTCAATTCAAAAAAGATCCAATAGTGCCATTTTGCAACTGGGCACAAAATTAATAGTATATCATAAGGAATGTATGTGATTCTGCCTTAATAGTGACATTTATTTCTACACATATGCTCAGACAAATCTCTGTTTGATTCAAGAGATTTTATTTGCTTCTAAATTCTCAAAAGCTAAATTTAAACGTTCCCCCTGCTGGATGTGGCTGAAGTGTTCATCGGAAAGGGACAGGAGCGACGCAGCACCTCTGTTTCACATGTCAAGCACTGCAGCCTACAGGGGAGGTGTGAATATAGGGGTCAGGAGGATAATGCTGCCTCTGTCTTGTATAATAATAACAAAAAAAATCATATATACTTATATTTGACGTCTATAGCCTGACTTATCTGCAAACATTAATACATATTGCAGCTTCTCAGCATAGCTATGACGCAGATAGTTCCATGCCTGTTTTGCAGATAGTTACACTGGGGCAAACACAAAAGAGCAGAAAACACAGCCACAGAATCCAAAAGCCTCAAATTGTGGGTCTTTGCCTCGAAACTTATTAGTGCCATCATTTCATTCATGCTAGAAGTTTGCTTTTTCCTCTGAGGCTGATGCTTCAACACTTTTGTTAGTCTCACCTGGCCTAAACGCCAAGCACTTAATCTTTTCACTGAAGGAGAGAGCAGGCTGAAGGGAAGGACTGCAGAGACCTCCAGAAGGTTTTTCAAGCTCAAACATCCTAAAAATAACAGAACTAATACCTGATACAAGAGCCTTTCCAAAGTAGTTGAGGAGTCACACCCCTTTAAGAGTAAATTAATGAATGAATCTCAGTCTCTCATTCTCATTTAAAGGTGAAGAGAGGGGGAATGGTCAGGAAGTACACTCCATTAAGTGACCATATATTTCCAGCCAAAATTCACTGGCTTCTGGAGCACAATTGCAAAGCCCATTTTCTGACGCTTTAAGTAATTCACATCTGCTCTAAAGCTGCATTAGTGAAAGGCCTCCTCTTCCAAGGAAACTGTTATAAAAAGCTCCTAAGAATGCTGAGTAAGAGCAACTAGCGGGTAAATTAGCTATCACTGGCATGTTCCATCACACAGACAGCAATTAATGTTGCGCATAATGAAAAGTCCACTCAGGGCTCACACTACAGCTTTCCAGAACTTCTGCCAGTGTCACCCTTTAAATTACCGGTTTGGGCTTTATTTTAAACATTTAATAGCATTTGGCAACGGGGTAATTGAATAATGCGACTCTGAAAACCTTTTCATGTTGCAACAAGAAAGTTCTACAAAAACAGAAAGTAACACACAACAGTTCATGGAAAGCCAGAGAAAAACCTCGCTGTCACCCAGCAAAAAAACCAAACAACCTCCCCTCCCCAAACCAGTTCTTTCTAAAGATAATTTTACATCGTTTTTACAGCATTTGCTGCAGGTACACGACTTGAAACGAGCATCCTCAGGCAAAAGAAACAACACTGATAGTACCAAAAGTACTCATCTCAACGGAGCGATACTTACAGTAAAGACAGCCAGCATCCCCTCCACGCTGGGCCCACCCCGGGCAACACTTGTATGCTGTCTGATATTTCACTGCGTACACCTGTCGGTAGGCTGTGTAATATGCAGTTCTGAAACAAAACAAAACATCATCCAGCCAACGTTAATTGCCATAGAATGAAGAAACTGGAAAGAACAGAAAATCTATCTCTAGCTGTGGCACATAAGTAAAATGAGGAATTCAGTTTTTAAATTTTTTTTTTTTTTTTGCACCTTGTCTAATATGGTCACTGATCCTAAGAAAATACTCCTTAATTTGCTGTAATTAGGAATATGAGAGACCAGAGTGCCCAGGTCCTCATAACATTCCCAACTCTTTTCCTTTTCAGAGTCATTTTACAGTCCTGAGCGATTGTTTTCCTCCTCTCTCAAACCACTCATTAACAAAGGAAACAAATTATAAAACAACAGCTATTTCAGTCAAGCCTTACTGAGCACGAGCGGTGGCTCTAATGGGGCTCTAATAGTGGCTCTATTCTGTAGCGAATAATCCAAAAAACCAGCCCAAGCCCCCATATCTTTTTTGTGTTTCTAAAAAAAATTAAAAGATTTCCCAGCGCAGTGCAGCATCGTGACAGCAAGGCCCTGCTGCCTCTCCAGAAGCAGTGGCTGCAGCTCCAGCTTTTACCAGGGCATGGAAAGCTCTGCTGCACCCGTCAGTTTGTTGCAGCAGACCTTGTGCTAAGACAGAAAGTTGAAGAAGCCTTTAACAGCTCCTACTAGTTACTTCCAGGGTGGGAGTTGCAGTAGTAACACAGGGACTGAGCTGAAATGTAAACAAATAAAAGTGACACTTTTTTCCCCGGAAATTTGATGTTGCGTGCGTGAGAAAATCAACACAGAGATAAAGCTTTTGAAGCTGATTTTTGAAAAGATACTTTGGCAGAACATGAAACTATTTCCACCAGAGCAAATCAGACAAACAACAACAAATATTTAGCAAAGCAGACGTGTCGTACATGTCCACTGAAAATATTTATCCTAACTCATTCTAGTTGTTTGATTTTGTCTGAATGTTTCTACAAAAAAATCCTAAATAACGGTGAACCGTTAATTCCCATGAAGGAAAACTTCAGCTATTCTTCTCTGCCAATCAGCATACGGAAGTACAGCTGAGAAAAATAAAAGCAGATACCAATTTCTGTACAAGCTGTTAACAAATTAAGAAGGAAATAATCATGTTCCAGAAGCAGCTGAGAAGGCGATTCACAGTCAGTCAGGCACCAGAACAGCTAACAGTCCAGCTGGATCCCCTTGGAACCAAGAGCTATCTACCAGCCCAGGGCTTTTAATGTTATGGCAATATGCATTGCAAAGTACAAAAATAACACTATGGATCTGGGGTAGTGCTAACTCCAAAAGTATTCACAGAAGTGAAAGATTATTGACCCATGTGCAAAGATATCAAAAATGTCCCTGTATTTTGAGGTTCAGACAATTCTGCAAAACACTTTTTTTCCATCCAAAATCAGAAAGACTGTACAGCAACAGGCAACTTTTTTCTTCTGCCCTGCATGAGTACTGCCATTCCTCAAACTTTCATTACTGAGGGCTAAGTAAAGCTAAATTCTGTTGTTACTTAATTTAGTAGTGTCAGGAAAGTCGCACAATCAGTGGCAAAAACATAACTTTACCAGGAACGACTAAAAGTGCAGCCCAAAAAGTGCTTAGTTTATCCACTGAGAAGCAAATATTTAGCCTCCGAACTAGTAAGGCCTGTGTCCTAAGGTATCTATGTTTTAGCACATTGAGCAGGACAGAAGAGTCAGCTCAGATCGTACCTAGACAAAGACATCAGTGAGTGAGACCACCACCACAATGATAGGGTTTAGGCCGATTATGCCGTGTAATAGGGTTTATGCTGATTTCGATGAAATGTCACAACTCTAGGCACAGACACAAATGTATGAAACCAGTTGCTATCATTTTTGGAACACCCAAACTCAGCAGACAGCTGCCCTCTAAGCTATCCCTAGCCTGCCCTGGGCCAGCCTCCCTCCACTTCCCCAGGAGAAAGCAGAAAGGACAAAACTGGGGACTTGTCACTGGACTCTGGCTCACACAAAATGCCTCATCTGTGCTAACACCACCATTTAAAGTTTAGGCAAAGTAATAGGACCTAACAGTACCTTCAGTGTCCCACGCCTGCCCGGGAATTTGAGAAAACAGCTAACAATTATGAACACTGCAGTTCAACGAATAACTGGTGTTTCGGTCGCTGCAGACAGCTGCTGCTTGCTGTGCAGGTGGAACTGGACAGAAGCACTAAATGGTGCACTGGGGAAAGGCAGAGCAGATGCTGTATTTTCCTAGCCACATACATGAACTCAAAGACTCCGAGGCCAGTTTTAGGCCAGCCCTCTGTCTGTCAGGTCCTGAGGCGGTTACTATGCTTCCCAAGCCCCGTCCTGCCAGAGCACGGTCCAAGTGGAGCAGCTCCAGCGGGTGAAACAGAGGCTGTGCAACATCCACATGAATGCCATAACTATGCGCTCCAGTGACTTAAATCGCTCAGCACAAGGGAGCTTAGCATGAGATCTTCAGTCTAATGGATTAAACCAGCTGCAATGGGAACTCCCAAAAGAAGTTCAGAACGAAGACATATGCGACAAAATCCCACCTAGGAAAGTTTTGCTGAAACTCCTTTTACCACACTTGTCTTAAAATTCCATCTCACCCTCCTGCACATCACCTCTAAGGTTCACCTCCATGTTTTTAGCATGGACTGAGCTTCAGCGCTAGACTATTCAGATATTTATAATGCAGCATGACAAAGTTGTCTTGTTTTAGTTCCTTGATTTACAATGTCAAAAGCATGCATTAAGGAACTTAAAGGAACATCTGTGAATGAACAATTCCCAGCCTTTGAAGTAGAAGCAGACAAGGAACCTATCATTTCAAGGTCCTCTCTTAAAACAGAGTCAAAAGACAGACTGTTTGCTGCTTTATTACCACTACACAGATATCATCACCAAGATAATTACAAGCAATTACAGGTTAGGAGGAATTCCTAAACTCCAGACTTAAAAGCTGTCTCTACTCCAAGATGCTTCCTTGGAATTATTACTATTACTATTATTTTGCAAAGGCTTGTAACTGTTTAATGAGGCAGAAAAAGCAGATGGATTACAGAAAAAGATTATGCCCATTGTAGCCTGGACTTCAGTGCAGATCAGACAAGTTCATTATTTGCACTGCTGCACATATTCATAATCCTCCATCCACAACCTTCTCTAGTTTTGTCTACCGGCTCTCAGTTAAGGCCTGTTCACTACTCAAATGATACTATGATTAGCTGAACACTTGCATCATTTTTCCACTTAGAGTACGCTCAAATTCACTTCTGACACATACAAGCATAACTCCCCTGACTTATGCATCGCTCTTACATGGGACTGAATTAGGTCCTGCACACTGTGTCATGTAAAAGGAAACCCTACGACTCTGCACCAAAGCAAATGCCTCAGAAACTACCATCATGACAGCAGTTACCTGTGCAGGAGTTGCTCCATGAAGACAATTGCCTCATCTCAGAGATAAACTTAAAATCTCCTCTCCTCTCCCGACTGTGCCAGCCCATTCGCATAACTGATTTCATCCACAGCCAAGCAAATAGCCTTCTCCAGCGGTGTTCCGGGCTTAGGGATGATCACTGATGTGTGTCTGCTGTTAACAAACCCCACACCACTGTGCCAACAGCAGCTGAAGACCACAGCTGAGCTGCTGACAGCATCCTGCACTCATCTCATTTTATTCCAACAAACCTTACATTCAGACTTCTCAGTGCTAGCTGGAAGCCAGCCCACCAATGGTAGCATATATTATTTATTGATTCAGAGGATTAAAAGCCAGAAGGGGCCAACGCATCAAGCAGGCCAAACTACTCCACAACACGGCAGAGAATTTTGCCCCAGGATTCTATAGCCAAGACCATCCAAGAAGAATTTTGACGATTAACAGTCATTTAGCAATTAAACCACTAAATGTTAAACATTTTGGTTATCTAAGCAGAAATAGGAATGCTGTTCATAAAGAATGGGAGGGTTTGACCACTGAGACCACTGTTAGCTCACGACTGGAGTGAAAAACAAGGGCATAGTAGGCAAAGATACACTTGCCAAAGCAGCAAATGGACTCACACAGAACCTGCAGTTACTGCCTGGCACTACCATCTCCCTTCCAGAAGCTCTCCAGGAACACAGTCAGACAGACACTGTTCAGCCGTTTTGCAGGACTTATTCAGCAACAGCACATGGGCTACAATGAACCATCTTTTAAAGAATGAACCCAATCTTTTGAACCGTGCCAAGCCCACAAGCCTGCTAACAGCCCTACAGTTTCTCAGGACAAACGGAAACCCAGGGCTCCCCTGCTCTGATGCAAGCCCTGGTTTAGGCACCACTCCTGCTCACTAGGTCTCTTTTGGTAAGCTTTTAAAGAATTGAAGTGTCTTTTGAAGAAATCACCTCTTCAGGAGCTATTGAACAAGCAGATGTATGCTGTAACTCCAGGTAGCCTTTCAAAAAGGAGAATTTTTAATTAATCAAGCACAACTGTATTTTAGAGCCTTTAAATTAGACAAAAACAAAACTTATGAGTATGTCTAAGAGGATAGCATCACTTGTCCAAAACTTCCAGACTCTGAGTGTCCACATTTCCTGAGCAAATGACATCTTTTAACAGGGTCCTGATGTCTGAGTTTTGTTTCAAAAAAAGACACACTGTCTTCAAATACAGAGAGGATCTCAACGCTGGTTTCTACATCTAATTGCAAGTAAATTGATACATCTATTGATGGTTTTGGAAGTTCTTCTTTCTGACCAACACCCATCTCTTATATTAATTGCTTCATTCCAGCAGCTCACAAATCTAAAGCTAACATATAAACTAGCTCATGAAGATAATACAGGAATTCTCCACATTCTCCACAAGAACCATGCAAGTCCTAATTTGGAATAAAAGTTAAAAACAAAATGCTCATGAGCTTTCCAAAAAATCTGTGGTATCTCAAGATTTATATACTCTTGAGCTAGTCCTCAATTCTCTATGTAAAACCTCATTACACCTGAATCAAGAGAAACAAAACCTCGAAGCATGCCCCTTGACTGAATTTTCATGGTTTGGCTGATTGTTGCATAGTACCTGCTTTAGCTAATCCTATCATTTTTCCAATTATTCAAAAGTCTTTGCTTGGAGGACATTTAAGGAAAATAGGACCATATTAATTTTCCTATCCTCTCTTCCCCCACTCTCCCCAAAAAGGATGCGATTTCCAGCTCAAAATGATTTCTAATACTGTCAGTTTAAATCAGGTCCTAGTCTTCAGCATGACTCTTTCAACACAGTCCAACACGCTGTCCAAACTCAGACCATCAGAGGGTGCTCCTGCAACACATACTGTGTACAGATGTCCCCCAAAAATCTCTTGAGAAATTCCTTTACGCAGACTGTAGCTTTCCATACAGCATTTTATGATTACAACAGTGCTCAGTAAGAAGCACTGCTGCCTGACTCTTTTTTTTGAGTTAAAGTGCTTTCTGGTCCTATTTCTTAAAGGCCTCCTTTCTCCCTCAGGCTGCGGCACACAATCAGCTGGGACACACAGCCATAAGGCATGCCTGCACAAACAGGGACAGAGAGCAGACACTTGCTCTGCACACACTTCAAGCTGGTCAGTGGACTAACAAGAGGCAGATTGCTTAGGCAGTACTAGTTCACACCTGAGTGGCTCAGGGGAAAAGCCAAGGGAACACTGCACAGACATCCTCAGAGCTGCCAGGGTCCAAGAAGAGCCTATTCAGAGAGCGGACTAGGCCCTACAACTCACTTTTCCCAGTGGTTTAATACTGCCTGTTTTTGTTGATCACAGGATGAACTGAAAACATGTAAGCTTTTAGAGGGATGGAGAAGAAAAGAATTCAGCAGAGAGAGTTCTTGTTCCACAGGGAACAAAGAGCATCCAGTGCCTCTTGCAATAGCTTCTCTAAGTTTATTCGGGAGTATTTTTTCATTGATTTGTTACATGATAAAGTCTCAGGACAGACACATTTCAAAAGGAATTATATCCATTCAGTCTAAACTATAAAATCAAGTATGTATTTCTTATTAGCAGGCTGGAAGGAGTAAATACAAACCAAGAAGGTGACTTAAATTCCACTCTGCCTCCAGATTCATAACTAATTACTTGGGAAACAGGAAGAATGCAGCTTGCCTAAAGATGTGGCAACTTGGACGAGGCAGAGAAGAATTTGCCTCCATAGCATCTTGGAAGCTGGAAATGGACATTTTCATATGAACATTTTAAAGTAGGATTTACATTTTCAGATACTTAGATGAGATAAAACACTCTTCAAACTTTATAGCTCTCGGTTTCTCTTTCGTGCACGGCAACATTTCTAAAAATGGGCCCTTCTCTTGATTAGATTAAGGTGTTCTCTCTTGTCATGCTCCTGGTGCCAGTGAAGGTGATTGTCTTAGCCAACTCCATCCAAGGGAGAGCAAGTGCGGAATACTGTTTTAACTGAAAATACTGCAGCAGAGCTCCAAGTAGAGCAGGCCCTCTCTCTTTGCTTTCTTTGGAAAAGCCATTTAAATAACTGCAGTCTACTGACCTGCAGAGCTTTTTTTTCCCTA